CTGGAAAGTGGGAAAAAGTGGCTCGAGTAAGACGTGAACTGACAGAAGAACTTGAGAATGCACATCTGAAGAGGGAGTGGCGTTTGTCTGGGGTGGGCAGGGCTGAATCGGATTTTCGCATTTTGGACCTAGAGCAGCCCGGAGCGGAAAACTGGCTCGAGTAAGATGTGTGCTGACTGTTGCAATGGAGACTATACTTGAAGTGGGAGGGGTGTCGTCTGAGTTGGCGGGACCAAAGCCGTTTTCGCAGTTCAAACCCGGAGTAAACTGCTCGAATAAGACGTGAACTGGCAGAAGAACTTGAGACTGCACATCCGAAGAGGGAGTGGCGTTTGTCTGGGGTGGTCGGGGCTAAATCGGATTTTCGCATTTTGGACCTAGAGCAGCCCGGAGCGGGAAACTGGCTCGAGTAAGATGTGCGCTGACTGTTGCAATGGAGACTATACCTGAAGTGGGAGGGGTGTCGTCTGAGTTGGCGGGGCCAAAGTCGGATTTTCGCAGTTCGAACCCGGAGTAGCCATAGGTTGGGGAAACGGGCTCGAGTATCAAGTGGGCAGGCAGGTGAAGTGGAGAAGGCATGTGCCAAGGGCCTTTGTATGAATGTACGTTAAACCCGAAAGCGGGAAAGACTGGCTCGAATAAGACGTGAATTGGCAGAAGAACTTGAGACTGCACATCCGAAGAGGGAGTGGCGTTTGTCTGGGGTGGGGCGGGCGATCCGACTGGTTCTTTACATGAGTTAACAAGTATTGTCTACAAATTTTGACTCATATCACTTTGTGGCTTCACAAATCTGTACTTTTTGACTCGACATGACAATGGGAAGCAGCGAAAGTGCAAAGTGCTCTCCCCATGTGACCGAAGTGCGCCATGAACAACTATCAGTGAGAAGAAATTCTAGAGAGACATTTATCAAAATAAGTGTTGATCTTTAAACAAAATGCTCTAATCAAAACCAAAAGTGTCGATCTTTGAACAAAATGCTCTACTCTGCTGTGTTACCGTAGCAGCACAACTGATGATCAAGTTAAGGCTCCAGCTAATACAGGAAACCTCAGTGGATCGAAAATATAGATAGAAAAAACAAAAATTTTGTTTGTTCAGTTAATGTGCAAAAGAACATAAAGAAATCAAAATTACAGCTGGAGGCCGCCTCCATACTTTGCGAAAGAGACGATTGAGATATCTGGAGGATTGCGTGTCAGGGAAAGTTTAGGTATCGATCTGGCGATAGCGCAGACTAAGCGACCTGCGCCAAAGGAGTGGATGGGTTTCGATCGGCGCCGGTTCACTAGCGATTGCGGTGATTCGACTATTCGGCGATCTTCCAGAACTCCGGACCGCTCAGTCTCCCAGATCGCCAGATCGCCGAATCTCTGAAATCGCTAGCGACCGGCACCAATCGATACCCATCAAATCGGCAGAAATGTCAACTATCCCGAAGCGCCGGATTTCTCAGTCGCAGAGTATGAACGCGGTTAACTAAAATCTAGTCGTTAAAATAAATTTTGAACTTTAGATCTTAAAAATATTTACCATGCCTTTCAAAAAAACTGATATTTCAATAGAAAAACGTTAAGGAGCAAAAGGGAACTGAAACTTGTAAGTATTCTTTCACTGGAAAATCGACCTTCACTGAGTCCAAGTGTAGATGGGGGTCTAATCGATGCTTCACGAAAAAAGCATTTCCTGCTTTCATTTTAACTGAATCATTTGACATTTCAAAGACGATTATAATAGTATTTCGTTGAATTATGCTACTTTTTGTGCTCATATTCCTTTGGCTGTGGATTTTGCTCTTCCACCTGTTTGGTGCGCATTCGAATAAAACAGTAACTGGTAGATGATTACCCTCTCCTGAGCAGTTCTGGTCCCGATAACTGCATAAAAACGGGGAAAAATAGCATGATCCTCCAATTAAGAAATGGAATAAAAGAATGATGACGATAGTGTTTGCACAATGCTAGCATATCAGAACACATCACTGATTTCAGGACTTACTAGAAACTTACTCTGATATCCGTCTCATTCGGCGTGATGGTAATTGCTTCTATCGTGCCGTTCTTGTGGCACAGATTGAACTAATGCTGAATGATCGAGAGGAATGTGCAAGGTAAGGTTTTTGAGGTGTTTGTTCTTTTTATTTTTGCACTTCAAAATGACTTCGTGCATGTGTGTACCGTTATGGAAACTCAGATTCGAGCAAATATGTCGCGGATGGCAGGACCGACTTATCAAGCTTGGATATCCTGATTTCACAACTACTGACTTTTGCGAAGTGGTTCGTGTCATATCGCAACCTGACTGACAACTTTACTTTCTGACCATTATCATATATTTCCAGTTTTACAAGTGGATGACTCCGATCTGGACAAATCAGGCAGACAGGAGAAAGATTTTCGAAGATTTGAATGATGATAGTGAAGCCAACTACCTCATCATATTCCTGAGGTAAGGTCTTTTCTTTTCCATAATTTCGCTTTTTCACAATGTTAACTGCTGAAAGAAGAGTCGAATAATCAGCCGATTAAGCCACATTTCTTTCCTGTTTTTCGAGCTCTCGTTATCAGAGTAAATATGAGTTATAAGATAATGGTCCTATTACGACACACAAATGAATCCATAACAGGTTTTTAGCAAAGGTACATAGTTTGAGTGAGCACTTAGCAAAATGTACCTGTTCTGGATGCCCCTTTTGTTCCATTTCTGTCTGTAACTTAGTTTGAAATTTGTGGGAAAATTGACAGTAGCTGTTCATTTTAGTGAAATATTTTCGTGCTTCTGCAACACAGTTTCGTAATCCATTACGTAGACTGACCAATGCGGTTTCATTCAATTTTCAGATTGATTACTGCCGGATTCTTGAAGGAACACGCGGATGATTATGCCCCATTCATTGAAGATAGCAGTCTTTCTGATTATTGCACTACAGAAATTGAATCAATGTGGAAAGATGCTGACCATCTCGCTGTTACGGGACTCGTAAATGCCATAGGTCAGTTTCACCTTTCTTTCATTTTTATACCCGTTTTTTTCTACTTTTCTCGACCTCGCTATGATCTGAAGCAGGTTTATAGAAAAGTGAACCCTATCATTTTGGAGGTTTAGTGGCGCTACTGCCGAAGCGTACGTAAGTCTTGTTGCACACGACGAATCTGAGAAAGTAAAACATAATAGTAGCATTAGTTATCACAAGAATGAGTTGTGGGCAAAAGTCGTGCCCCAGGCGGGAGTCGAACCCGCACCTCACGCTTTCCGGGCGAGTGCGCTAGTGGCCACGGCATAAGCCGTTAAGCTGAGAGGGTAAAAGCGGCCCTGGTGGCGTAAGCACTCGCCCGGAAAGCGTGAGGTGCGGGTTCGACTCCCGCCTGGGGCACGACTTTTGCCCACAACTCAGCATTCTTGTGATAACATTCGGAACGCGTACTGCGGCGTTAAACAGCAGTTATCATAACAAAGTAGCAGTAGTGATATTACTAAAAAGGAGCATACAGTGTCAATACTAGCTTGATCGTTTCTCGATAGTTAAGCGGTACTGAAATTCAGCTAGTCTGTATTTGCAGCACCAACCACAAGTGTATTTGGGAAGATCGATCTAGATCGATCTCGAGCCAACCAGTTTCCCGAAGTGATCACTCGAACCTATTCGCGGTTCCTTCATCGTCGTTTTCGTCTTTCCAATAAAGAACTTCGGGAAAGAAAAATCAAAAGGTTTCCCACTGCCTGTGGTTCATTACTCCAATGCAGCTTCTGTCATTACTCCACCTATCTTGGTGGATGGTCTAGAAGTGTTCTTCGATACGTACCTTGGTGAGAGGGGGCAGAGGTGTGGGGTTGGAGGCGCTCATTCTGCTGAACTGGCGTTAGCTTCTCTCAAATGGGATGTATTTAACGAACTGTTGTTCACCTCTCTCAAATGAGACGGAAGTCTTGCAAGTCTCCCAATGGGACTTCAGAAAGGTTGTTCTTCCTCGTCGAAATCAGTAACTCATGAGACTCTTGGTAAATCCTTGATTCCTCATTTATATCAGAAGTAGGTCGTGGCATAACTCTAATGTTCTTGGGGAAGGGCGAAAACCCGAATGAGAACTCCCAGATGAGACTACTGTATTTGAAACTGGATTCCCCACCCAGGGAGCTCCTTCCCTTTTAGGGTAAGCTAAACCAACATAATTTTCATCCTAACTGCTCTTCCTCAATATCAGTGCTTTTTCAATATTAGCACTAAACATTTCAAGCAGAGATTGCTGACTTGCTGTTGTGCAGCTAACTAATACTTGGGGTGCAAGCCAGGAGATCCACTATACGCTGGAAGCATTCAGTATACCCCAAGTAGTTGACTCGCACTATCTTCCTGTCAAACAACTTAGCTCTGGTGCGGATTCCACTCACGCGAGGGCACTTGCAACACAGTTTTCGTCGGGTCACCGCGCTGGGTCTCCTTTTTTCCATTTAATTTTGCATTTGAAATCACTGTGAAACATTGTTGTAGGAGCATTGTATGTGGAAGCTAATGTTGTTATCAGATAACGGCTTTTATTACTCTTTTATCTTTACTAAGCAATTTTTGTATACTGACAACTCGTCGAATGCTTATTATAGGTCAAAGCATTCGAGTGCAATACATGGACCAAAATGCTGCACCAAATGGCGGTCTTTATTACGACTTCCCGCCAGATCGTACAGAAACACCTCCTTATAACACTTCTTTATCGACCAGGTCATTATGACTTAGTTTATCGCAGATAGAAATTGTAAATTAATGTAACAGTCCTTCAAATTTGAAAGCCTTGCATTTGAATTCGTCATGATTATCCTAATAGTCTTTGGTTTTTATTTCCGTTCTCTTATTTCTCGTTATCCTCGTCGAATTCGGATGTGATAGCATCTTTCATGATACAAACGGTACTTCCTCGTTTTCAGTAAGTCCTTCTAGATAACTTATTTGCTTTCTGATTGTCATAATTTAATTGCATTGTCAGTTATAGATGATCTAAGAAAGTGTTGTATAATATCTTCTAGTCTTTTAATTATCGCGACATAATTGTACAGTACAGAATGATGTTTTGCCAAATGACGACAGTAGCGTCATGAGAGTCTGAGCATGGTGTGGAGAATAAAACCATGTGTCTCCTACGGCAGCTATGGTCATCCATCTATCTCTTGATCTTTTCCTTCATCTCAGTCACGTATTTCGCGATATTCGGGTGGGCGGGAACACATGACATGACAGTTGTACCTTCCTAATTGGTGCGCTCGTCGCAGTGCACACCAAAGGGAACAGGAAGACACAGTGGTCCCGAGTCTCCTCATCTAATAGCCTAGAATTGTCAGAGTTCGTGCTGAGCGTGGGCAGAGCTTCCTGTTGCAGCTGTTGGCACCCTGGGTGCACCTAATTGACTTGAACAGGTAGAGGGGATGGGAGATGGCAACGCAGCGATTTAGGAGTCCAGTACAACAGCGTAAACAATGTTCTAATGTCAAATCTTTCTCATAGACTCGTAGAGTATCTGAGCAGGCGAGATCATAAGTTAGGACCAGTTTTTTTGTTGCTGTGGAACACCTTTTCTGACTTGCCGCGTCCACAAAAACACTATGTGCCCCACGCGATGGCGCGGCAAATCGCGATTGTCTTGGCCGTCTCACTTTAAATTTAAGCGTGGAACATTGAAAAGTCATGTGAAAAATCATTAATTTCAATAATATTCGCACTGTCTGGGAAGTTGCAAAATTGTTGACTCACGGTGATCGATCCTCGAAGTGCAGCACTCCTAGCATGGAGCACTCCGGGATTCAGATACTCCTTTGCCTGCCGTATCATCTAGCGATCCAAATCGGAGATTGAACACGCTATTGCTATCGAGTGAGCTCGCTCTCACGATCTGAAGTTCTTATGGTAACCACAGTTTTTCCTGTTCCCCGGTAACGTTCTTCGGCATTGGTCATTCGTTTGACTAAGATGGCGCTAACAACGTGTGATGAATCGTCCTCAGTTCTTAACGGTGCCAATGTGCCGGCTAGCGCCGATGTCTTTTTCGTCTTCGATTTTCGCATCCCCAAGGTCGTCATCGTTGCCGACGTCGCTCGGACACTTTTCGAACGCTCTCACTTACTATCACAACATCAGATCGCCATTTCGCCTTCTTATTGTTCGCTTGGGATTTTCCGGACTCTGATTTTTCCAGTCCATAGACATTCTCAACCTCTCAATAATTGTTCCATTATTTATAATTTGTCCAGCCTTTCAAATACTCAATTAATCCTTCGTGAAAAAAAATAGTTCTCTCACCTTGGGCTTCGCTTGAATCTACCTGAAATAGAACTTGTTCGAACCTTTTGGCAGTCTGGCAAAAAGAAGCAGTACCTCATATCCAGATCCTCAGAATTTTATGATGTGCCAAGTTCATATGTGTGAAGTATAAAGATGCTGAAATTCGCCACCATCAGCTGCTCCATTCCCTAGACGCCTTGAAATCTGGTACTTTTCGCATTTATCTAGGCCCGCTAGCTATGAGTAGACCTGTTATGAGGATTTATTGGCGGTAGTAATCTTGTGCTAGTGAACAGTGCACTGACTAGGTAAACAACTTTTTATTGAAAATTAATCTTGAAAACAAACGTAGAATGTAGAAATGTATCCTTTTTTAATAATAAAACATCAGCATAAGAAAGTCAATCTTTTCACAACAAAATTCCCTCCTTCCCTTACTGATGAGCACAGAGGAGGGATAACAACCTTGTTCAGTTCCGTCTAAGGGCACGTGCGAAACGGAAACTGAACTACTTCTTTGAACTGACCCCCACAATAAATTTAATTTATCTATGAAATGACCAGCCTTCTCCAAGTATGTCCATTGAAAGTGGAATATGAAACTTACAATGAATTTTCAAATCACATGTTACTACTGTATTGGAGGGGGCATTCAAAGAAATCTTACGCAAAAAATAGAAGTAACATGGTTGAGAAAAGGACTTTTGCTCAAGCCTAAACGTAGAAAAGTAGCAGGAGCTCCGTGGCTGGGTGAGCAACCGTCAAGTACCGTAATTCTTTTTGATAAAACCGATCCCAGGTGGACGCAGGGAGTCCTTCCTATGGTCCCCTGAGTGTGACTGGAGCTGATTTTTCTGCTTTCTTACCGTCCATACTGTGATGGGATACGTGCTGAAGTAACCGGAAAAGTTGCTCTTAATACTCCGAAAATTATAATGGGCTACATCATTTGAAAGTGGCAGCAACTGCCAACGATCGTTTTCAGGGAGAGAGACACCGAGGTGGGTTACTGAGCCACTTATGATACGTGAAAAGCTGAAATGTGCAAAGTCACAATGACCATAGAGTGCCACGCGGATGAGAGAGAGCAGAGAAAAACACAAATTCGACGGAAATTCAAAGAGATTGAGTTCATTTTGTCAGTGGACCTTTGTCCAGCGCCGTGTCAGGACGCTTGTCTACCGCTAAGCTTCACTCCTGTTTCCTTTGTTCTTCTTCCTTCCTTCTTTTACTCCCTTCCTTCTCTCCCCCCTCCCCACTCCCCCACTTCCTTCCTTTCTTTTTTCCTTCTACTGCTGGGCCAGTAGATGCGATGAGAAAGTTCCTCTGACCCCCGCAGCGAGAACATGTACAGTTGACACAGTAACGGTCCAGCGCAAAATAGGATGATAGTTGTCTCAAATGAGAATATCGTGCAAATCTCATTCTGCACCATGTTCCAACGAAATACGCAGTCATACACCTTCCACTTCCGGGATAGAGGGCAGAACATCACGGGCGTAACCGTAAAAGGACTACTCGGCTTGGTAGGGGCATCAAGAGGTGCACGACGAGTTTGTAGTCATCTTAGGAAGACCTGTGAATTCCTGTAACTAAAGTGGCACACTTGTGATATCCGGCAGCTAATAAGTACTATGTTGGTTGACATGAACTGAGAAAAGGAACTAGTGGTGAAGCAAAAGCTCTCGCTCCAAACGGACAGCGCCAACTGCTATCGCTCCTAATGTCACCTGTATTCGAGTGATTTTTGAATTACAATTCGTCAGAGGGTCGTCATACAATGGTGTCAAGACAAGAGTCCAGTTCAACCAGAATGCCGAGCAACTTTTGAAGCTTAAATTAAACATGGAAGTTTCCTTTGTTAGCGTAAAAAGCCGTAGCTCATCATTATGCGCGGTACGATAGAGAAAATCCTTTGCTCAGCCGACGTGGCGAAAGCACAGCAGCGAATGGCGCAGCCTCACACCAGGACCTCATTTAACGCGGCAGTGCTACAACAGTTCAAGTATTTGCTTTGATAATTTGATGGTGCTGCAGAGGGCAGAATTCTCAGCAGGAACCAAATTTCTTCAATGCCCGACGATTTGCAACTTTCCTAAAGGTTGGTTCTTGCGTACTGCCCAACCTCGCTTCACCTTAAGGAAAGTGGAACTTTCCTAAAGGTTGGTTCTTATCGCCTCCATGACGTCAGTAGTAGTTTACGAACCTTTTGAATTTCCTGTGTAGGTTGAAATAGTGTGTGGATGAGTAGTTTCGAGAATGTCTTTCGGCTTTCCAGGCTCTGAAGAAGGCGACGACGCCGAAACGTCAGCCGGATAAAGCTTTGTTAACAATCTAGGTGTCAAGCTAAATCAGTTTGCTAACAGTCGCTGCATTTACGTACCACGGGAAATCTGCGTGCTGCCCAACCTCACTTTTTACTGAGGAGATTATGGGTTGAGATAAGTGTGCTACATCGCTGAGCAGCGAAACGGCATTGCATGCTGCAAAAGAAGCCCACGTCAAGGAAGCGCAATGACGGCACAGTCCGCGCTTATTGGATGGGCGAGGGCAGCCAGTGTTTCTTCCTCATTGACATACTCCCCCCGGCTATGTGTTAAAGGATAGGCTTTGGATTAAAAAGTGCGTTGCGCCTGGCTGTTCTCGCTCATGCGTTGAAAGGGGGCTGTGTATTGGCAAGCGCACCCTCTCTCTGCACATTATCCGCACGAAGCTGGTAGGAGGTTGAGATGAATTTGGGAAGATGGTGGGTAAGATGGCAGGTGAGCGCGGGGTGGGGGGTCACACCAGAGACGGACATTCTAAGAGGGATCGGGTTTTGCAAAATTTTTCTCTAAGGGCAGGATGCGCCCTTCACCAAACACTTTCAATTTCCGTTTTGAGCGCCATATCTGCTCCTTAGGCTCCCGTAATTATTACCTCCGATGCGAAAATGCGATAGTTGTGGACCGCGTGGGTTCTTGTGTAAAACTGACTCGCTCTGACCTTCAAAAGTTCAGCCGATTGTTTGCGGAAAAAGTTGTGAAAAGTGCTGTTTCGACTTGTTCTGCGTTGAAAAAAGCGATTGAAATAAAAGTGGGGACGAACGTCGAAAATATTCGAAGGCCGCGAGCGCGTTGGTCATTTTCAGGTTGAAAAGTCGGCGTCTCTATACCGTGGGATGTTCGTGGAAGAGAAAGCAAAGCAAACTGTTGAAAACTCACCAAGTAGGAAACGTGCCTGGTAAGTTACTGGAACATACGATGCAGAGAGTGATCGTCGAAAAGAGAAGCAGTTAGTGATATGAAGAAAAAAACCTATAAGTGACCACAGCGCGATATAGCGCTGGTAAAACGAAATGATCAAAGTGGATCAAGCTCGAGGAGGTGGAGCTGGTTCATTGTCGCTGAGCCATGGCACTTTTATCATGCATTCCCGAAAAGTGGGACATGCACTGCGACTGCGGACGCTCCCACCAGC